AAAAAAAGATAAAATAAAAAAACTCTCTTAAAAAAAAAAAAAGAAAGAATGGGAAAAAAGCCCAATCAGAGAGCTGACAGGTGGCATAGTGATTGGGGCACTGGACTCCCACATGGCTGACCATGATTCCAGTCCTGGACCTGGGGGCTTGCTTTCTCATTTTCCCTCTCTCTGGTCAAATTAAATAATAATAATAGCAAATAAATAAATAAATAAATATTTTTTAGAGCGAGATTTTTGCTGTAGGGCACATGTGCTCACCAGAGAGACAGAGAGATAAAAAACAAGAAATCACACCCCAGGGGGGATGGCCATGCTGCAATCCCTTCTGCTCTGTTCTCCTCTCAGGATTCTGGGCACACACACACACACACACACACACACACACACACACGGTGTGAGCTTTAAGCCACCAGGTCCAGGACTTGAACAGCGGTCAACTACATGGGAGTCCAACGATGTAACCGTTTCGCCATTTGGTGGTCCCAATAAAATATTATTTTTTTCATAAAAGCCCAATCAGTATGCATGAAGTTTTTAATCTTTTTGTCTATCTAAATGGTTAGAAACAGGAGCTGTAATGACCTTTTTCCCAGATGAGGTATATAGATACTACTTCCACCAAGCTGCAAGGCACAACCAAGAAATGTCATTGCTCCTGACCTGGATGACCTTCTGCACCATGCTTATGCTCCTCTGCATCCCACCCAAAGAAAAACCCATGTTCTCATTGAGCAGCCTGTAGTTTTTCCCTTCTCCCAGAAGACAGTTCTGTCTAGTTAGAGCTAAAGTATAAAATTAGACAAGATAATAGTATAAAAGTAATTGTCCTTCCTCTCCATCACATCTCTCTGTCCTGGGGTCTTTCAACCATGGTACTATTGACGTTTGGGGCCATATAATAATTTGTTTGTGGGGGCCATCCTGTGTATGGAGGATGTTTAACAGAATCCCTGGCCTCTAACCATGCTAAAAATTACCCCCTCAAATTTGTAACAATCAAAATTGTGTTCAGACACTTCTGAATGTCCCATGGAGGACATACTTGCCTTTCATTGAAAACTACTTCCTGTCCTGTCTAGTTTCTCCCCACATGTAAATTGCCATGTGGTTCTCCTCTCTTGTACATGAAGTATAAATAAAATCTATCTGGGATGATTTGGTCACCTTCATTGCTAAAAATAAATGTTTCTCTCTGTTTCTTTCAGCTTATTTTCCAAAGGTAAGAAAGATGAGTCATACTGCCATTGACCAGGTAATACAGCAAAAAAACCAAGGACCACAAGGAAACCATGAAGCAAGGCAGCAGGGAGCACGAGGAAACCACAGATCACGAGAAAATCATGAGACAAAGGGACAGCAGAGACCCCAAAGAAGTCACAAATCACAAGGAAGCCTTGGATCGAAAGAGTACCGGGGATCCCAAGGAGACCAAAGAATAACCCATGTACCAAAAGGACACCAAGGACCTAAAGGCCACCAGGAACCACTAGGGTCACAGTGCTACCATGAGCCACAAGGACACCTGGAAGAAGAAGGTTATTGAAATATTATCATTAGAAATTAGTAGTTTGTGGAAAGACTGGATTTGGTAATGAACTCTTAGGTAGATAAATCCTCTTTGTCCAAATGGTAGATTTCAGATAATAGTTATCAACAATGCTACAGCTTCTTTTGCCATCAGGATTAGACTCCCTAGTTGCTCAGTTGATGTCACTGCCTCCACACTCCCATGGGAGGAATAGCCCTCATTTTGAAGTTGACAGCTCTCCAAGCATAGTTCAGAGCCCTGACTTTTCCATGGCCCCTGCTCCTGATTCTTCCCCTGTGCTTTTCCATTTCCAAACAAGATCTTAGGGCTTTTGTTTGTTTGTGCTTCACTAGCTACTCCCGCCCCCTTGCTCAGTAGTTCTGCCTCCTGGGGAAGTTTTCCCTGCATCTCATTGGTTCTGCCTAGAGAACCATCCTTTCAAATTGCTGAATGCAAGTACTACTGATGTTTTGAAGTCTGTGGCCCTAGGGACCTAATGAGGACCAAGACTACTGCTAACTCTCTTTCTCAAAACTTTGCCCCTCCTTTGGCTTTGGGTTTTTCAGGCTAAGAAGTAACATATGTTACTTCACTGGCCACAGAAATATTTTCTTCTGCCACATTTTTCTGCAACAGTGGGAACGTCTCCAGTGCTGCCCACTCTTGTTCCCCTGTTCCTTTTAGAAAAGCCCAACTAGTAGCTGTTGTCATTCCAACATTTCAGTCCACTTCTGGAGTAGGCCGCTTTAACACATGTAGGGCTAACACTATTTGCCAGCTCTTCCTCCATTTCACTTTCTGGCTTAGTCATCGCTTTTTTCTAACATATTCTTCAAGATTCTGCCTCATGAAGCCCCGAAAATGGCTCACATCTTCAGGGAGTCTCTTCATTTTTCTGCTTCTTTCGCAAAGATGGTGTGACTACTGTTCTTACTACTTGAAGTGGCAGCAGAGTGGTCATCACCTAGGAGCTTGTTAGAAATGCATATTCTGTGGCCCCAGCCAGACCTACTAAGTCAGACTCTTCACTTTAACAAAATCCCTAGGTGATTCATATGCACGTTCAAGTTTGGGAAGCACTGGGTTCCATGACCTCACAGAGGCAGAATGAAGTCAGGGTGCTTGCACAAAATGTGTACTGCCTCCTCTGGTCTACAGAGATGCCCCTGTCTCCACTCAGGCAGTGCTTGGCCCTGTCTTCACAGTGGATGTCTGCCACCAGCCTGATGCCTCACATTCTGGTAGAGCTCTCTGCTTTCCCGTCTCCTCCACAATTCTGGTTAGCTGCTCTCTAACACTCAGGACAGAGCGCTCTCACTTTCATCATAGCAGCTTTCCACTCCCCCTGTCACGCTCTCCAGCTAGATTCTCAGCCTTTTCTGGGCCATGTCTCACTATGTGGGACCCAAGAGTGACTGAAAATGACAAAACCTCCAAGAGAGCCTTGCTGTGCCTGACCACACTGTGCTGCCACGTTACTGGGCCATGGCCCGAGTAAGATGGAGGAAGCAAGGGTGGGGATAGCCTGGGAGATCTCTGTTTCTAGAGTCCTGAGTGGAACATGGAGCAATGGTCTCCCTTGTTTATACTCGATGTTCAGCTCGTTCACCTAAGGCAACCGAGGCCCAGTGTAAGGCAAGTCTGACTTTTTTGGTTTCCAGCCTCTCTCTCTCTTACCTTTCGTCTTCCCACCATCTCTGAGCTGCTGAAGAAAGAATAGCCTTTCTTTGATAACTTTCCCTAAGTCATATCCTCCTTCTTCCTGAGCCCAGGTAGCCCTTAGCAGTGTGCTAGGGTATTTATGATACACTACTGAAGAATTTTCTTAGCTAAGTAATCCATGCTGTCACTACACAAAAGGAAGATACAGATTTAGGGGAATTCGAGACAATTGCATGGCTCGCAATACATACTGTCCTGGTGCATCACCCTATTTTGGATGACAGGTGCTAAGTATTACTTTGGTGTTTTTCTTTTTTTTCTTCTTCTTTTTTTTTTTTTTTTTTTTTTGGAGAGGTTTTTTTGCTAAAGGGCACATGCACTCACCAGGAAGACAGAGAGAGACAGAGAAACAGAGAGTGAGAAATCTCCCCCCAGGGGGGGATGGCCACACCGCAATCCCTTCTCTGTTCTCCTCTCAGGATCTTGGGCATGCATGCACACACGCCCGGTGTGAGTTTAAGCCATCAAGTCCAGGACTTGCACCGTGGTTAACTACATGGGAGTCCAGCGACATAGCCATTATGCCAACTGCTGGTCCCTTACTTTGGTGTTTTTCATGGCATTCCTCCCATACTACCATTCCACTTCAGTTATTTTATGGTAAAGTTGCAAGTCCTAAACAACGTTGTGTAATAGCTATATGATTTCTTTTTCATTTGTTTTTAGGGGAAATTCACCGCTGTCAAAGCTATACCAACATTTATGTCGAAAAATTCACTTCATTGCATCCATTACAAGACTCTCAGACAGCCACAACAGAACCAAAGGTAGGGAGTCGTATGTTTCAGATGTTTTGTACTGATTCTTAGTTTATCTAGTTAATTCATATCTACGAGAGATCACCTTTACTGGCCTGGAAATGACTGGTTAGAGATCACAGGATCCTACATAGGCCTTAGCACTCCCTGGCAAAGGTGGTGCTGAGCCGGCTTCATATTGAATGTACCATGCAGTTGCTCAAAAACTAATTTAGGGAACCAGCAGTTAGCGTAATGGCTATGTCGCTGGACTCCCACGTAGTCGACCGCGGTTCGCGTCCCGGACCCGGTGGCTTAAACTCACACTGGGCGTGTGTACATATGTGCCCAAGATCCCGAGAGGAGAATGGAGGAGAAGGGATTGCAGCATGACCATCCCCCCTGGGGGGTGATTTCTCACTTTCTATCTCTAATGTCTCTCTCTGTCTGGCGAGCACACGCGCCCTATAGTGAAAATCTCTCTCAAAAAAAAAAACTAATTTAAACATTTGTTGCTGCTGCTGCTGCTGCTGATGATGGCTACCATTTTTTGAGACCTTAATGTGGGCCAAGTCTTGTGCTAAGCTAGAAGGTAGTGAAAGGGAGAAAAAAGACATAAGATAAAAAGCTGGAAAAAGACATGATCATCATTAGATCTAAGGGTCAGATACACATAAACCAAAGTCCTGATTATAAAATGAGCAGAGAGTTGTGATTTGTACAAAATGCAGTAGGAGCAAATGAGTTGTAGAGTCTAGTCCTGCCAAGAAAGATCTATAAAGGCTTTATTAAAGAACAGTTTTATTGAATTCAGTTTCGAAATGTGAGAGGGAAATTTCCAGGTCAGTTGACAGGAAGACAGAATGAGGCAGTGTTGTAGACAGAAGCAAACATATAGAAGTGTGAGCCAACATAGCTAAGGAAGTGCAAGGGATGAGACTGAAGAGGTAGACTAAAGCAAGAGAGCTGACATATCTTGCTGAGGCATGAGGGATCCTCTCAGTAGTAGGGAGTCATTGAAGGCTTTTGAGCAGGGCTGTGAAATAAGACTGCTTTAGATTCTAAAAAATAAAAATCTGATTGCAGCATGTGAGAAAGATGACAAAAAGAAGAAATAGAAGGCAAAGTAGTTTATTTAATTTATTATTATTATTATTATTACTATTATTATTTTAAATTTGACCAAAGACAGACATAAAGAAAAAGAGGGAAAGTGAGAAAGGAAGCCACCAGGTCTGGGATTTGAACTGCAGTCAGCTGTGTGGAAGTCCAGTGCCTTTTGGAGTTAGACTGTATCTGGAGTTGGTGACTCAATAGATGTGTAGATCCAGAGAGGGAAAAGATGATAATTTAGCTTTGGCATACAGGTTTTCATGAAGAGAAATATCTTCTCTGTGCTCCCATGGGGCTCCATCTTAACTTGTATCTCAGAACTCATTGCACCATATCATATTTATCTGTCTATTCTATGGGGCAATGTGCTGCTTGAGGTCAGGATTTCTCTTATTTCAGTTCCAGGCAGTATGTTCAATAAGCATTAGATTGAATTGGATTGGTCTTATCTGAAGTAAGTGGAATAGCACTAAGTTTTTTAGAATGGAGTACTAGGTAGATTGCCATGCCTTTAACCAAAATGTGGAATACAGGAGGAGGAGCAAGTTTGGAAAGATGGGGGTACATAATAAGCTCCATTTTGAACTAGTTAAGTTTAGGTGCCTGTGAGGGTATTAGGTATTAGCACTGAGACCAGTGCACAGGAAAGAGGGAGGGACTACACAGAGGTGGGGAGGAGATGCTATATTAATGTGATTGATTTGGAGTAGGCAAAAGCCTCTTTTAGAAGCATAATTACTAATGAGTGTTTTTCTGTTGAATGTTATCCCATATAGGAAGATAAAGCAACAACTAAAACATCGAGCCCTTTAAGTGGCAGAGGTAAGCACATGAATAATATTCACAATTATTTTATTTTTCAGTTTAAGAATTACTTTTCTCATGCAGTTTTTCAAGCATTTTCTTTCTCTAATTCTAAGATCTGTGTTTATTTTGGTAGAGAAAGATAAAAAGTTATTCACAATTATAAATGTTATTATCCTACATTTTGGAGCAATTGCTGAGTGAACAGGCCCTTTATCATTTACAAAGCATGGGGAGGTTCGAGTCCCTGCTATGGCTGTCTTTACTGAGAGGCAGAGAAAGTGCCTGCCAAACTGTGATTTGGGAGTCCCAGTTCTGATTCTCTCCAAATGGTCCCACCTTCTACTTCTAACCTTTCCTCACAAACATAAAAAGACATTCAAGGGCTAGCAGGTAACATGGTGGTAAAGGCACTAGACTCACATGGCCGACTGGATGTATTTATTTATGCAAGTTAAAGCAGTAGCTCCAAGGATAAGATAAATTGATAACTTTTTTGCATTCCCCTGCCCACAAACTTCTTGTGGCATACCGCTCCTCACCAGGGACAAGCCTGAAGTCCCTAACATAGAGCCCTAACGTCTTTGGTCAGCTTAGTCTCCCCTTACTCCCCCACCAGAATGAACTGTTTTGTACTTGACTATGGATTCTAAATGTTACATCAGCCCAGCAAGGAGAACTGTATTATTTTCTCTTATTTAATGGTACCTCTCTTTTCCCCCAGGAGTGAAGAGTAGTTCACTTCATGCTTCAATTATTTCTGATAAACCAAATGTCCTCAGGCAGTCTCTGGAGGGTACTGAGAAACAAGAGGCAAGTAACATTTATTTTGTACCAGACGCATACAGAACAAACGAAATATGAAATTATGATCAAGACTGGTATGAAACAGTTTCATTTATTAAATGACCATCTACAACAACTTTATTCCCTAAAATTAACAACTTTATTCCCTAAAATTAGTAAGACTTTATAAAAATTGAAATGCAAGCCCCTAGTAATAGTTCTGTACTGGTAGACTTCTACCAGTGCTCATGGCTTTCAGTTATGTTGGTGTTGCCACACTGTAAGTATGAAGAATGCTAGAGCTAATTTTTTAAAAGAATATTTTATTTTACTTATTATTATTATTTTAATTTGCTGTAGGAAACATGCACTCACCAGAGGGAAACAGAAAGAGAGAGAGAAAGAAAGTGAGAAAGCAAGCTACCAGATCTGGGACTTGTACCATGTGGGAGTCTAGTGCCTTAACCGCCACTTGCTGGCCCCACTATAAATAATTTGTAAGCTAGCAAAAGAAAAGTGGTGAGCCTGAAATTTTAAGTTTGCTAGACACATCCAAAATGTGAATGTTCTATTTGCCTTGCTTCTTCACAGTGACTACTTCAATCAACTTGAGTGTTCCCGCTTACTAGCCCTTAGACTATAGGCTTTCTGCAAGAACCTCAAGGTACATCCTTGTGCCCGGAAGAGGAAGTGATTAATTGGGCTTTTGTGAATCACTTCTCTTTAATTGCTGACACGTTGAGAGACTGCCGCTTTGTCTCACTCCAGCCTCTGTCCCCAGTACTCAAGTACTGAATGTTGGAAAGTTAGCAGCAGCACTCACTCGTGGTGCAACCTCTGGCCACAGCACAGATCACCTCTGTACGCTGCCAACTTGTCATTATAGGAATCAAATCCAAATCACATGTTAGCATTTTATTCATTGATTATGCTGCTCTAAAATGTTCACATGGCTTAAGAGAGATGTCATCAAATAGTAAAGTCACTGAAGTATCTTCCAAATGATTTCTATATAACTAAGAAAATGGTATCCTTTGCCATATCCTACATTCAGTGCATAGTGAGACTCACTCATGTGTAACTGCTGCGGTGCAGTATATTGATCACAATATGCTTTTTAGTATAAACATTTATGAAACACCTGATGTGTGCAGGGCACTGTACTACTGTGTCTGCATCCATAATCAGTATACTTAGTGTCTAAAATGAAAGACACATAAGTACTTTGGGATAATTTAATAGTCACATGTCAGCAGTTAAGTTTTTCACTACCCTCAATATAGAGCCAGAAAAAAAGTGCCCCCTGTGTATAACATGCATGGCAAACTTAATACTGTGAACATTACCCAAAAAAGGCAGTAAACAAGTTTAGATAACAAGTTTTAAAGGGACATTAAAATACATTGGACAATATTAATTGTACATCACATGGTCAGAAATATTTCATTTTGAAAAATAGCATGAACACATGTATTATACTAGAATATCATACTATTTTCCAATTCATTTCACTCATGTCAGTAAGTGTACTTCTGATGTCGTATTTCAGTTCTCAAGTCTAGGAGAAAAAATAAAGTTTACTTTGTTGGATTTAGCCCCCTGGATAGTTTTCCAAGTCCAAGTCACATTCTGTGAATGTAGAGAACCTGCTGTCTGCCTCCCAGCTCCATGAAAATGTCTCTCTGCGGTTAGCTTTGTTTGAAACCCACACATATTCTTTTTCAGCTGTTCAGTTGATTATCTTCCATGCTGGTCAGTATGCTTCCTTAGTTAATTTTAGAATATCAGTGAATTTTATGAACCTTTGAATTCTACACATAATAAATGTAATATAAACCAAATTAAATATGAACATTTTCAATGGGTCTTTACAGTAAGTTCTTAAATCATTTTCTTACATTTATGTATTTTAGGTGTAAAAACTAGTCAATGTTCAAATTATTTTAAAAATCTTTTGGAGGAAGCAGCAGGTGGCATGATGGTTGGACTCCCACATAGCTGACCATGGTTTGAGTCCTGAACCTGGCAACTTGCTTTCTCTCTTTTTCTCTTTCTCATCAAATTAAATAATAATAATAATCTTTTCTTATGGCATGTATAGGTAACACGTGCTAATTTGAGTACAAAAAAGACCAAGAGAACAAGTTTCAGCTGTGATACAGGTAAGCATTAACAGCAGTTATGAAGGAAATCTTGCAATCCATTAATTCATTCACTCTGATAACACTTCTGAGTTTCTGCTGCGTGCCAGATATTGTGGTAGTTACTGAACATACAGAGTGGAAAATTTGTGGTCCCTGCCCTGGGATTTTACAGTGCAGTAGGGAACAGTCATTTCTGTAATCACGACTTAATGTAAGTGCATAATGGAGATATGTACAAAGTCCAGTGGAAGCATAGGGAAGCCAGGGAGGGTTTTATGGAACAAGCCACAATTGTGCTGAGATATGAAGAATGAGAAAGAATTTTCTAGGCAGATGAATGGAAGATAGTAGAGGGAATCTTCTAGGAAAGGAGAATACAATTACCAAGATACAAACATTAGAGCATGGTATGTTTGTGGAAATACAGATCATTTCAGAATTACTTTAGGAAAATGTTCAAACTAGGCCCAGCCTCCATGATGCAGCACCAATGCACTACTCATGAGAAGCAGGGTCCCACGTGGTGACCATGGTTTGAATCCCTGGCCCAGTCAGCCTGAAACACTCCAGGCATGCGCACAAGTGTCCAGGATCCAACAGGCTGGAGGACTGGAGGAAAGGGAACACAGCATGACTGAGCCCTGTGGAGGGTGCTTCTCTCTCTCTCTCTCTCTCTCTCTCTCTCTCTCTCTTTTTTTTTCCCCAAAATTTTCCCTTTATTCATGATAAAGAGTGCTTGTGCATGCACATGAGAGAGACAGGAAGGAACACCCCTCCACAGGGCTCAGTCACACCGTGATACCCTTCCTCCAGTGCTCTAGCCCCTCAGATCCTGGGTGCTGGCACATGTGCCTGACATGTTTCAGATTGACTGAGCTAGGGATTTGAACCATGGTTGCCATGTGGGAACCAGCTTCTCTAGAGCAGTGTATCACTGCTGCACCGAGGAATCCTCCTGCCTCTGCTTTCTCTTGTGCACGTGCATGCACTTACTATGTACCAGGTGCTATGCTAAACCCTTTATGTTCTCTCATTTAACCCAATAATTTAATGAGGTCAGTACTACATTTATCTACCATTCTAAATATAAATAATCTCAGAGTGGTAAATTATCTTGCCCAAGGTCACCTAAGATAATATGTGGCACAGTCAGAGTTTTAACCCTGGGGTATCTTACTCAACCAGTTCTAACCATAATATATACTGCCTCTTACTGTAATGAAGGAGTCTCTTACAGTAGTCAAAGTGAGAAATGAGTGCTGAACAAAGGCGATAGCAGTGAGGATGGAAACCTGGGCCCAAATTTGATGTAAACTAAGGCTGTTGAATGGATGAGATTTGGTTGCCAGTTGAGTAAGGGAGTTGAAGGAGTTGAAGACAACTTTTGGATTTCTAGATTGGACAACTAAGTGGATAGTGAAGAGAGCTTCCTTTCAATAGATGGACAATACAGAAGGAGGAACAAGTTTGGAAGAAAAAGATAAATTCTGTTTTGGATATACTGAGTTTGAAGCACTTGCAGACATCCATGTAGGACATCTAAGTGGAACACTCAAGCAGGCAGTTACAGATACTAGTCTGGGACTAATGGGAGGAGTGTTGAAGAGAATATTTCATATCAAAATCTATGGAAACATGGGACCAGCAGTTAGTGTAATGACTATGTCGATGGACTCCCATGTAGTCGATTGCAGTTCGAGTCCCAGACCCAGCAGCTTAAAACTCACGCTGGGCGCATGTGCATGTGTGCCCAAGATCCTGAGAAGAGAATGGAGGAGAAGGGATTGCAGCGTGGCCATCCCCCTGGGGGGGGGTTATTGATTTTCCACTTTCTGTCCCGCTGTCTCTCTCTGTTTGTCTGGAGAGCGCACGCACCCTATAGTAAAAACCCCCCCCCCCCCAAAAAAAAAAACTATGGAAACAGCTTTGGTTATTTCCCAGAGGTTTTGATATAAGATATTCCTTTAAAGTAGATTATACTTCCTCCTTTTAATTCCTTCTTTGATCTAAATGTTATAAATAAATAACTTTCGTAATATAGATTTATATTTTAGGTCACTTTTGTTAAAAAAAAAATACGGGTTTTGAGAATGTAGTCTATAAATTTATGCCACACTGAAGTTGTTAAAGCTTTCTTTATGGCCAAATATGTGGTTGATATTTGAAAGTATTCCGTGAACATGCCTAAAAATATACATTCCCTATTTGAGAGGTAAGGAAAGATAAGGCTCTAAGTGAATATTGAATTATATTTATTGATTATGTTATTCAATTATCCTGTGTCTTTACTGATCTTTTTCTATTAGACTGTCTTTTCTCATTGTCTACTAGATGTGTCCAGCCATCAAAGATGTGTATTGAATTTCTCCACTATAATTGTAGCTTTATCAAATTCTCATTGCATTTCTAATAAATTTTATATATTTAGGCTCTTCAGGATATTTAATCTTCTATACTGCTAGAAAACATAGTGCTTTATTTATTTTTCTCAGATTTATGAAGTATTTATTACTATGCTGATTTCTTGTTTACATTTCTTCATCATACATATCTATAGCACACAATATGACTTTTTAAAATGCAGTGCATGGCAATCAATAGTTGTATTAGATATTTATTACTAAATAACGAATTACCCCCAAACCTGGAAGTTTAAAAAAAAAATTATTTTCTCACAATTCCTGACATAAGGAATGTGGAAACATTAGGTGACTCTGACTTAGAGTCCCTCATGAGGTTCCATCCAGGGCTGCTGCTCATCTGAAGGCTTGACTGGGACAGGAGGCTTCACTTCCCAGGCGAATCACTCATAGAACCAGCTGTTGGTAAAAGGATCCTCACCATTTGGACCTTTCCATGGGGTTTCTAGGGTACCCTCAAGATATAGCAGTTGACTTTCCCCAGAACAAGTGCTTTAAGAGAGAGTCTGAAGCCACAGTGTATCTTATGACTTTCTCTCAGAAGTTACCATCACTTCACCATACGCTATTCACTAGAAGCAAGTTACTGAGCTCAGTCCATACTTACGGTGAAGAGAATTAACCTCTACTCTTTGGTGAGAGGAATATGAAAAAAACTGCAGACATATTCTTTAACTACAACGGTATTATCTTCATATTTAATTTCTCAGGCTTGTGCAGTATTAATTCCAACTCCTTCCTTTCCAAAACCCACACACATGTAAAAACATATTCATATGTAAATAAACTCCAAAAGTTACATGGAATTTAAGTAAAACCTTTTAAATAGATCAGAACTTATTGGTTACTCACAGTACACTTTACATTTGTTGGGAGAAAAATAATACTAATTCACTTTGACTTTGAAATGGCTCCAATCGGTAATATCACCTTCTATTATACAAATTATTTTGTTTAGCTAAGATTTCAATTAGTCATATATTTGCATAATTGACATAGATCATCCCAAGATTATGGACATATTCTATATATAGACCTGCTTTAGTATTATTACCCAGAAATATTCACTAAAGTCTGCTAATGGACCTAGAGGCATGCACACATTAGAGAGTGTTTGAATGGGAAGAGATTATTGACATATGGACTAATGAACAAGCATTGAACAAACATATATTGGGACCAGCAGTTAGCGTAATGGCTATGTCGCTGAACTACCACATAGTTGACTATGGTTCGAGTCCTAGACCTGGTGGCTTAAAACTCACACCAGGCATGTGTGTGTGTGTGCCCAAGATCCCAAGAGAAAAATGGAGGAGAAGGGATTGTGGCGTGGCCTTCCCCCCTGGGGGGTGATTTCTCACTTTCTGTCTCTTTGGCGAGCACACACATCCTATAGCAAAAAAAAAAAAAAAGACAGACAGACAGAAAGAAAGAAAGAAAAAGAAAGACAGACTCTTAAAAAACATACACATATATTAAAAAATTCATTCAATGAATAAATGCCATTGTGTGCTTCCTATGTGCCAGGCATTGTACATAGCAATTAGAATACAGTATAGTAAGACCTATAATAGAAGGATGTATAGGATGCCTCAGGGAGCATTGACTGAAGATGCCTTGGCAGATGTTAAGGAAGGCTTTCTGGAGGAGTTGACATGAACTGAATGAATCCTAAAGAATGAGAAGTTTTCAAGAGGGAACTAGAATTACAGAGAAGGGAAATAGGTAGGACAAAGACCCTAAGATGTGAAAAACATGACATGTTGAGGAAATTGCCCATGGCTCAGTATCTCTGGAGCACAGAATCTATGTAGAAACTGGCCAGAGAGTAGGCTGGTAAGGTAGTCATTGCTGCCAGCTTTTAAGGTATATTTTATGTTTCCCTGGAAATCCCTAGAGGGTTCAAACAGAGCAGGGACAGCAGGGAATAAAGACTTGATAAGATATGTTAACTACCATTTCACAAGTGACTTATGAAGGGTACCAACAAATAGTAATTTTTTTTTTCTGTCAAAATCTACCTGCAGCTCAGAGAGATGAGAAAATCATCCCTTCTCATGATTCATCATATGAGTAAGTATCTAATAAAAATTAGTTAATATGTTATTTTAACAATTACACAGAGAGGGCCAGCAGATGGTAGAGCTGATAACATTGCTAGACTCCCACATGACTGAAAATCACAGCAGGCATGTGTGCATGTGTATCCAAGATCGTAGGAAGAGAATAGAGGAGAAAGGATTGTGGCATAACCATTCCCCCTGGGGTGTGATTTCTCACTTTCCTTCTGACTGCCTCTGACTCACTCTCTCTCTGATGATTGCATGCACCCTAAGGCAAAAATCTCTTTAAAAATATATAAAAATTACACAGGGATACTGCTTGAGGGACAATTCTCTAATGGAGTCTTTCATTTTTGTAGCTTTGCTTGTATTTAGGGAAAACTCATCTTTTGCAACCCCTTCGAATTAAGCTAAAATTGTAAAGTAGGTAAAGTTAGTCATTCGCACTCTTTAATTCCTCCTCTATCTCTTTATTCTCACTTCAGTAAAAATTTTCTCCCAACATTCAGGGCCTTTACTCCACTTTCAAGTCAAACTTCGCCACTACCACTTCTTGCCGGGTAGTTTTCTAGGATCTGAATCTATTGTTTTCTCTTCTTCCCATTCAGACATGCATCTTTATTGTACCTGTTAGGTTACTGCTTTCCTAATGATGATCAGTTGGTTTACTATATAGTATTAATGACTTAATCTGTTATCCCATCTTAAAGATATCTGTACTGTAATCCAAAGTAATTGGTCTCTAATGATGGAAATAAAGGCCAATGGAGATCTGTTTTTACCCTAGGGATCTTTCAATCTTCTAACCTTTTAAAATGCCTTTAGCTATACCTGGGCCAGCTCCAGATAAGAATACACACACACACACACACACACACACACACACAGGCTAACATCACCACTGATGTGGGTCTGCCCATTACAGCTATGTCATACTCCTTTACCTTACAGAGAGGAATGCAGTTTAAGGCCTTTGGCTTACTCATCTTATTATGATGTATCTCCTTGTTTCCCAAGGCTCAGCTGTGGATACGGATGTTCCTCTATTTACCTCCTCTCTCTTCTCACCCCTCAACTCCTTAGTTCTCTATTTGTTCTAGTTGCTAGCACAAAGACATTCACAGTAAGCTTCATAAAATAGAATTAAGAATCAAGGGACCAGCAGTTAGTGTAATGGCTATGTCGCTAGACTCCCATGTAGTCGACCGCGGTTCGCGTCCCGGACCAGGTGGCTTAAAACTCACGCCGGGTGCGTGTGCGTGCATGCCCAAGATCCCGAGAAGAGAATGGAGGAGAAGGGATTGTGGCATGGCCATCCCCCCTGGGGGGCGATTTCTCACTTTCTGTCTCTCCCTTTTTGTGCCGGGGATTCCTGGCTCCCTATAGCAAAAAAAAAAAAAAAAAAAAACCCTATCCAAAAAAAGAAAAAAAAGAATGAACAAAATCAGGACAAGGAAGAGGAAAGCGTGATAAGGTAGTCATGGGATAAACAGTTGCAACAGATAAGTTTGTATTGGGTTGTCAGAAAAATCATGATTTACTTTTCAGGGTTTCTGTGCAAAAATGTGTCATGAGCTTTCCGATGACCCAATATTTAGATAATGAGTATGTTCTTATGATCGGGATGGAAAAGAAGAGGAGAAACAGTGCAGAAGGCAGGGAGTCGGTTGCCCTGAAGACTATGCACAGCAGTTGGTATTTCATTCACTGGGTGAAGTCTGATGACTGTGAGGAGGGATGTGATATTCTCAAATCAGAAACTCTCCCAGTCACAGTAACTTAAACTCACACCAGGAACGTGTGCGTGCGTGCCCAAGATCCCAAGAGGAGAATGGAGGAGAAGGGATTTTGGCACAGCCATCCCCCCTGGGGGGTGTTTTCTCACTTTCTATCTCTCTGTCTCTCTGTCTTTCTGGTGAGCACATGCGCCCTATAGCAAAAACCTCTCAAAAATTAAAAAAAAAAAAGCAGGAAAAAGAATTTGATTGCAGAGGATCTACAGGAGGGACATTGTGCCAAAGCTGGCTTAAGAAACTGGAGCTTAGAAAAATAAATGAAGCCAAAGGAGAGAAACTGTGTCACTGGCATCAGCATTTATCTTCTGGGTTCAATATTGCAAAAAAGATGCTAGTCTGAGAATGGTCTGTTGCTACCTAACTCTATTACTGAGCTTAAACCTGTAAGACTGTCTTTTCCTTTCAGGAGTTAGGTTGTAATTGCTCTGTCTGGCCCTGTTTCTCAAAACTGAATCATAGGCCTTGGGGGGAAAAAGTATATTCGATAATGTAAGGTGCAGACCAAGTAAAAATGAAGATGGAATGCCAATTTTTCCTTTAGGGAGGTCAGAATCAGAAGGGAGGCAGACAATCCATGTTGGCAGAAAAATAAGAAAATAAGTCGGAATTGCAGTCTTAGACCTTGCTTTTGTTCACTTTTTGAAGTCTATAATATAAATGATTGCATTATTCTCATATTTGTTAAAATTTAGTGAAATGCATTCTCAGCTCTGTGTAGTAGAAGATAATTCTAATTAGAAAATAGAATAGGGGTCAGCAGGTAGTATGGCAGTTATGACACTGGATTCCCCCATAACTGACCAGTTTGAGTTTCAGACCTGGTGGCTTGAAAATCACACTGGGCAGCGTGTGCTTATATGCCCAAACTCCGGATGGTAGAATGGAGAAGGGATTGTGGCATGGCCATCCCCCTGGGGGAGGGGTGATTTCTCTCTGACAAGCACACGTGCTCTATGGCAAAAACCTAAAAAAAAAAAATTTTTTTTAAACACAGAATAGAATATTGTTATACCCAGAAGAGGGCTATCTAATCTGATATTGAAAATAAAGAGAAAACCATGATTTTAATCCATCATTATCGAATAATCACCTGTAGATATTTTCAGACTGTAAGGAAGTGGGAGGAGACTAAGTTTGGAGGAGTGGTTAGAACATGAATTATCAGGAAGCTCCGATCAAGCAAAGCAGGCGGAAGGAACTAGTCCATTCCCTTTCTCACCAGCTCTATACTCTGCCCAGTTCACGAAAGTCAACACTGCTAGGATGGATCAAGTGTATAATAGCAGATAGCTATACTGTTTATGCAGTAATTATTCTACTTTGAATAATAGAGCACATCCTGTACCCAGGGGCCAATATTTAAATGGGAGACTAAAGGGGAAGATTAGACAAAATAATACTAATAAAGCTTATTCTTTTTTATGAATTGCTGGGGGAAAAGACCCCTCCCCCACCCAGACAAAAAGAGGATCATGATTCAATGAGTAAGAATTTAGGGGAAATCTCTATATATTATTCACCTTAATCAATCTCTTTGAACTTTTCAGACAACAGAACTATTATGAAGATTACTGTCAACAAAAAGTATGTATGATGAAATTCCATGATAAAGCAACATATTAAAAATATGTTCTAATATGTTATAAGAGAAAAATCTGTGAATTCGACAACCAACAGTAATCTGTTAACATTAGCCAGTCTTTCTGCCTTTCTTTTCCTTGACTTTCACTCTCAGTTAATCTCGGCTTTGGCAGAGACCAAAGTTAGTGTTCAAAGAAAGTGCTGGCCCTTGGGAAGGAGTCTCAGAGCCTTAGGAGGTCTTAACATCCGGGAAACACCAGTCACCACAAAGCCACTCTACAACAGAAAGTCATTAGGGGAAATCCCCTTGCAGACCACTGCAGTTTTAGCTCAGGCCTGAACATCCTGCCTTTTGGGCAGGTGAGCAAGGATGCCTTGATCTCTCTCTTAATTTTCCTGGGATTAAAGAGGATCTTGGGTTGGCTCCTCTGTCAGAAGAAAGGACCTAGTCATCTGAAAGCTACAATTTGGACCAGGCAAAGATAAGAGAAGAGGGTGAACTGGATGAGCCCCAACTCTGGGGCTAGCTAAAGCCAACATGAACAAGAGAGGGATAACACATGCATTCACACACACATTCATTCTTTAGAGAGAATTTTTTGGTATAGGGCACGTGCACTCACTGGAGAGATAGAGACAAGAGAGACAGAAAGCAAGAAATTACCACCCAGGGGGATGGCCACACTGCAGTCCCTTCTCCATTCTCCTCTGGGGATTTTGGGCACACACTCACATGTGCCCAGTGAGAGTTTTAAATCTCTGGGCCTGGGACATGAACCATGGTTGACTACATGGAAATCCAGCGATGTAACCATTACACTATCTGCTGGTCCCCACACATACTCCTTTATGCATACACCTACTTGATCAATTCATGGACAATGAGACAAACACAAAGGCACACTGGTACCAATAGTGTAGTCCTTGGCTTAACAGGACATTGAAAATAAACTGAAAAAAATCAGATTTTATTTATCACATTTCACATCACTAAAACTTTAAGAATGCCCCTATTTTATATATCAAGGTTGGAAATACTCCTTATCAGCTATCTTGTGAGTAATAATGTAGGTCTACTCTATATAATCACTGGTAATAAGAAAATATTACATATTGGAATTCTTAGCTCAAATGTAGCAAAATGGATTTAGACCAAAAAGGTAAGTAACTTCCATATTACTTTTTAGATATTGTTCTGAGAAGTGTTTGATTTCATACATATTGATGTAAAATGAATAGTTTTCAATTACATACTGTCATCCTGAAATATGTTTTCAAACTCAATTGTCATTTTCTGGTCTGTGTGGTAAGTGAAAAAATACAGTAAAAGAACTAGATAGTGGTGACAGTTACATGACATTGTGAATGTATATAATGCTATTGAATTGTACACTTTTAAATGGTCAATTTTATGTCACATGTACTTTATTACAATAAAAATGCATTAAGAGATTTGAGAATCAGAATGTAATAATGGCAGGCGTTCACTTTTCTTTGAATGTTGGTCTAAACCTGAATAATCCAGAGTCTACCTTGAAAGATAGTTGTGGGGTGGGGGAACAACCACATTTTAGGGGTCCTATCATTTTCCCTGGAACCCAGTTGCCAGACATCTGGCCTTCCCTGCCACTAACTTGGACCTCCAACCTTGGAAAGCAGAGTTCTTATGGAAGGTAAGTACCCTTGGTCTGGCAGTCTTGCAGGTAATGAAAACTTAAAAGCAAATTCTATTTTATGATAAGCATTAGAATTCTTATGTTCCTCACATATATCTGCAGTAAGTAGAAATACATAAACAAATACAGTTTTACAGATGCACTTTGCACCCATCTCCTCCCAGGGCCAGTCTGTGTTGTGACAATGAGCACTATTAACCACTGAGGAAGGGTCATTCAGGTCTGATCCCTGGGTTTTTACTTCAACTCAGACCCAAGGGACTACAACTGCTCTACAGCTTAGCCTTCCTGGCTCTTTGAGTCCCAGTTCTAGCTCAGCCCCAGTTCTTTTTTTTTAGTACCTAAATTAAGTATTTATTTACAGTCTATCTTCTGCCTCCCTATCCAGGATAGTTTGCACTGATAATATTTCATTAAATCCACAGCCTGTTCATTGTCCCTGAGTCCTCAGTGCTAATTGTCACCTTCCATTAACACTTAACTACTAGCTGTGGTCACATGACAGTGAAAGGCAGCCAAGGGCCACAGAGCCCTCATACAGACCCTGCTCCATGGGGCCTTATGTTTTAACTTCATATCTTACATAAACATGCCAAAGCAGAAGGAGCCTCTCTGTGAAGGCACAGAGATGTTTTGACCACAGATTTGCCTCATGAAATCACCCGTTAGAGGTAATGTGGTTTGTATGTTTAATAAACATTGCCTGGATCTTAAAACCATTTTATTTTTTCCCAAAGCATTTGTTTCACATGGGCCTAGATGCCCACTTGGCTGTTTCTTACTCCTAAATCATGTATCCCCATAACAAATGCTAAAAATTTCCAAAGGCTTTTGAGCCAAAGGGAATCATAATTAAAGAATAGATAACCATAGAGAATAAACTCCCTTGAAGTTAATCTGATATTCTAAGGAGACACTTTTTTGTTTCTTTTTTTTCTTAATTGCCAGAAGGTGTGTGGTATGCACTCACATGCACTTGGCCTGCTTTTCAAGTCACCAGGGCCAGGATTCAAACCATGCTGCCAACTATGAGGGATGAGGCCCTCTAATCGAGCCTATAGGGTCAGCCCGAAAAAGAGCCTTTCCTGTAATTTTTCTGTATACCATGACTGTATGCTGGCTATGCTTTGTTTGCTACACAGAATTAAAGGTTAGCCCTCATCCCTAGAATAGAGTAAATTTATATTTAATTTTCCTTGTACCCCTGCACACCTCCTTTCCAGGTAACTTCTGAAGAGCTGACTGATATAATCCGTAATGTCATGACATGGATTGTGGCTGCGGTGACCAGCATATTATACCCAGTCATCACAAAATACGAAGAAAGGGTGAAAAGTAGCATGTACCCAATGTCTGCTGACTCCTCCCTCTCTTCAGAGAGTTCCAGTTGCTGTAGCACATGCAGTGAAATGTTTACATATAAAACAACAAAGACAGTTCAGGCAGAGCCTGGTGTAAAGGGCGCTGATAGGTCAATGGAGCGAACACCCAGCCACACCTTTAAAACCATCTTCTGCCTATGCAGAAAGAACAGTTGTAGGAAAAACTCATCATGGAAAAGGTAAAAACATTACTTCTGGAACTCAATATTATGACATCTGTGAACATCACAGGCCCCAAACCTGTGAATCTGATAGTCACCTTTTTGTATCAGTTGAAACTGTCACAGTGAAAACCAAGGATGCTTCCACAGAGACAGATGCCATAGAATTTCTGCTGTCTTCTGATGAAAAAGCAAAAACTCTCAGTGAGATGCATAAGCTCAAACATGATTTTGATAACTTTAAATGTTGCCTAAAAGAAGAAACTGAGTTGATTTTAGAGAATATTTTTCAAGAACTGGTATCTTATTTAACCCATGCCATATCCACTCTTTCCTCAACAACGGCTGAAGTTTTAGTTGACCAAACTGAAACTGACAAAGGAAACTTTCTCTCCAATTTTGATATTTCTCCAGCAGCTTCTGAAATTGTGGAAAATTTGCTGGAGAAACTGCAGTCTGCGGTTGAAAAAAAATGTAGTGATGTGTTTTCCCAGGAAGATGTCTCGGTCCACTTTAAATCAGACTTAGCAGCCAGTGGAGAACAGTTCATTTTCCCTAAAGAACAACCTTCAGAAGCTTCACTGCCTTTTACTGTAGAGAACATTAGTGAGGTTGCAGAGGATATGGTTCATGTGATTTTAGAAAAGCTGGTAGCTCTTATGTCTTTGAAGCAAAACGAGCTTGGGCATCTCGAAATTACATCTGGACTTTCTCATCAGGAATACAGGAAAGAGCCAACACATACAGTATTTGAAAAAGCCAGCAAAATGAAATCTAGTGCTGAACCCGATGCAGCTAATTTTATTGACAAGGAAGTCATACAAAATTTAGTGTCAAATATTTTGTCCCAGTCCTCTGTGGTTGGTTACATAAAGGAAGCAATCAGCATTGTACTAGGTTACATACAAACTGGACTTAATAATGAAAGGCTTATTGCAACCCAAGAAACGGTAGTCATTCTTCAGCTACTTGACCATATCTTGACTCAGCTACATCAGAAACCAGTAAAAACATATGCCCAGAGGAGTAGATGCCACAGACTGAGCAGTCCTTCTAGCACTGAGGGTGAAAGTAGATTTACCAGCACTAGAAGAGTTGATGGTTCGAAACACGGACAACCGTTTCCACCTATCAATGTTCCTGGAATGGTTATTTACTCCGAAGACGAAAATGAGGAAATAAACAAAATCGTGGAGAATGTACTGATTTTATCTGTCAATGATGAAAAAACACAATTACAAGGACAAGTTCCTGATCACTGGTCAACAAGAGGAAATGCTGGTCTCAACTCTAAAAGAATTGTCAACTCACCTACAAGATCTGCTTGTCAAGGCAAAATAGCATTTCATGATTGTGAGTTAAAGACTGACATTCCAACATTCAACAATAAAAATCTTTTTAAGGATAAGCCATATTTAAATAAAGACATTTGGGGTTTCAGTCAAGATGAAAAGCACAAAATACAAAAAGCATCAGAAAACATCATTATAAGTATTTTAGCAGAAGTACTCAAAGACATGTCTTCAGTGGCCCCTTGCCACCTACTTAATAAAAATGGTCAAGAAGCTTCACTTCTAGCAGGAAAACCACAAGGCCTGTCACATCAAGAATTGATGGACTATATCTTTTCTGAGTCAGAAGTTCATTCAGTAGCTCATGAAATAACAGATGCTGTATTAAAAATACTTCATGTGGCTTCTAGTTGCTTCATCAATGCCCCCAAACATTCTGTTTCTTTACCAGTACACCAAACATCTGTAAATACTGTTGATGTGCCAGACAAAGATCCACTAGAAATATGGTTTGAGAGTGAAAGGAAGTTGAAATTTTTATCTCCCCTTTTTACAGACCTTACAAAGCCCCCCTGGCTAGAAGCTAGAGAAAGCGAATCAACATCTGAACCTGTGGTTCATATTAGTGATAAGATCACTCATACAATTTTTAAGAAGTTGAAGTCATTTATTTTTCCAAAATTGCAAATATGCTTCCATTCTCAAAGCCATACTGCCAATTCAATGCCCGTACCTGGCAAGAAATCTTCATTTCGGTCTCAGCTTAGTGCATATGCAACAAAAGTGGTAAAAATTGTTGTGGGTGCTATACAGAAGGAACTAAAACACAATAAGAAAAATCTGAATTTTAGGGCAAGGGGCCCTCCCAAGAACTTTATAGACACAGGATTTCTTGCAGACGCTGAAAAGGAATTAGATCGTATTGTCACAAAGTTAAACAATGACATTATGATAAGTTCATTAGTAACTTGTATTTGTGAAGTATTAAGTGAAAAGACAGATAAAAGCAATCTTCCACTCCCTTCAAAGAAGCTTAGGTCCCAAGTCTATTATGGAAGGACTGACATTGAGCAACAAATGTTTTCTTCTTACTCTTGGCCTCCTGGGCAAAAGGAAGTCCACAAATGTGCCAGATTGCAAGTATTAGATCAAATTGGAGAAACCTTATATGACATGCTATGCAAAGTTGAAGGAAGCCATCCACATTTTCCTGCCTCTGATAAGGAGCTAAACAGAGATTGGGTCAACGAGAATTTGAAAACCATCAATGCATTGCAGCCTGACATTCAGCTTATTTCTCATGAAATTTTAAAAGATATCATTACAAAATTATGTAATGCTGAGATGGATAGCAGTTTTATACATTTAGAATTTAAAGCCGTCTTGGAGCATATTGACACTGACAGCCTAACATTTTCCTCACTCACTGAGGAAATGAGCAAATGTTCTGACATAATCTCCAATGCCATGTCCAGCGTAATCCATCAGGGCAGTCAGGAGGCAACTACCATAAAGGAAGGAACTAAGGCCCCCAGAAAAAGGAGTACCAAAGACAAATATCCAAATAAACTGAAAGTTGTGACTTCAGATATCCTTAGCTCAGTTTTTGCTAAATTGGAAGGGCTTGCCAATAGAAATTTTAAAACTGCGGGTGCTATAGTCAGTGGAAATAAGAGCAACGAGACAAACTGGGGAAGTGAAAGTGCCAACATTTGGGCTAATAAACAAGAAGAACTCTTGCAGTCTTCTTTATACGTGCATACAAGGAAGATAGCAAGTGTTATTCTGAAAGCTATTCAAACTGCATTAAATGTGAGCCTGACAGATCTGGGTAAATGTGCACGCAGCTCACTACAAGAGAAAGAAATGCTTAAAAAGCTAGTCAGTCTAATTTTAGATAAAATGCCTCTAGATATGTTTAGTGAAGCAGAACTGAGAGAGAGAGAGATGGATAAGTATAGATACAGGCCCGTCTATGGAAATTTTCTCCCTGGAGGAGCTGGACCAGAATCATATCCACATGATCCAGCAGATACAGCAAAAGAAAGTACTGAAGAGGAAGGATCACCAGAAGAAGAAAGTAAATCAGATTCTCCTGAGCAACTGGAGTTAGAAAAGATGTTGAAAAAAATTGAGGTAGAACTCAAAGAACCACAAAAATCTCCAATTGTGCCCATTATAAGAAATATTTTAAATGAAATTTTTCAGAATGATTTAATCGAGCAATTAAATGTACTTACTCCCCCCTGGCCCCATTTATGGAACATTCCTTACACTGACAATGAGCCAGTTGCTCAAACATCTGCTCAAGCTCCAGATAAGACAATGGATCCTTTAGTGTCTGAAACAGATGTAATCATTGTTGCAGAAGATGTAATTAGAACCATATTTCAAAACCTTTATTCTGCTGCTGTGACAGATAGAAATAGAAATGAAAATAAGTGTGACACTGTCACTATCACAGCCAATACATCTTTTCCTGAACAGATCAGTGAAGGAAAAACCTCGGTTTATTCTACCATACCAGACATAAATCCACGTGCATGTGAGGCCAAACTCAACATTGGTAAACTGACCAGAATAAACGTGGTTGAAGATATTATACAGGCAATATTGACAAACTTAGGAGAATTTGCTTCTTCAAGGATAAGATCTAGGATTTGCTCTCATGTTGGTTTTGTAGTTCCATCAACTTTACATCTGGATGTGCCTTCTTTAAGCCAACCAGGGTTATCAATCAAAGATTCATATTCTAGTGATCAGTTTTCCCGTGGCTCTGTAGATCGTAAGTCAGGAAAGAGCACCTCCATATGTCAACTGACTGCCTCTAAATTAAATATATATGTGACACAAGTGGCTAGAAAGATTTTACAAGAAATAAAACTTAAGTTAGATAAAGAAATAACCCCATTCTTAACTCATAAGGTTTTGACTCCTGAAAGTATTACAAGTCAGATTGCTAACACAGTGTTAGAAGTTGTATCTACTAGAGATAACTATGAAAAAAGCATACCCAGCAGAGAGATTGATCACCATTGGCCAGCAGATGTTTGGGAAAAGCTGTTCAATAAAAGTGATTTTCGAAAAAAACTCCAGTTTCAAATATTAGATACCACTGGGGGCATCTTAGGTGACATTTGTGAGAAAACACTGGATGAGAACAATTTCTCACTTGTTGCATCTAGTCTTAAACGTAACATAGATGAGACACACCTGGGAGCAAATTCTGGAACAGTCTCTGGGTGCGCAAATGAGGCGACTTCAGTGCTTTTCGTTCCTAGGTCATATGTTGCCATGATTTCCAATGATATGGTGGATATCGTTCTGCAGAATCTCACTTCTGCTATCACACGTGACACAAATGCACAAGATTCTACATCTGCCAGATTGTCCCTAATGTCATCTGATAGATCTCTAACAGTAGAGTGTCCACAACCTCCTGTTACGGACTCAACAAATGAAAGGGAAAAGGAGAACTTTAGATTACCAAGAAAAGCAAAAGATGTTCAGCTGCAATCAGCTTATTCTGATGACGATCGGACAACTATATGTCAAAAACAAGGCACTGAGCAATCTATTCCTGATCCATATAATGAAAATGCTAACTTGATTACTAAAGCTATTTCGAAGAGGTTAAAATCTTTTGTCATGGAAAGAGCAAATTTGCTACTTACTCTTGATTCCAATGCTAGGGAAAAATCATCGGTTAGCCCAGAATTTACAAGTCGTAAACAAGATGACATCTTATTTCTTGAATCAAACCAAATGCCATCAGAGGTGAATAGCATGAAAATATCAGCAGGTGAAACAATGATCAGTCAAGAACTCACTAATTACGGAGAAAAACATGAACCTGTAATTCATGTATCACAAGCTAGTCTTAAAGAATATGCTAACATCATTGCCAATACTATTTTAACACTTATTAAAAAAGATATAGACTTGGAAATCCAAAAGATGTATTCATATCCAAAGAACATTTCCTTCCAAGAAAGCATCATTTTGAGGGAAACTATCAATAATATCTTGAAGAGTTTGCATGATAAAATATCTTTAAAGGAAAGTCAGTTTTACTCAAAGCAGAACCCCGGTCTCTTTACAGACCTGGCTGTACAAAATGAAATACTGCCAGGTCAAGGAAAGATGGAAAGCAGTACCGCACTGTCCCTCTTTTCAAAATGCCCAGATCAAAACCGAATTATATCAGAAGAGGAAACCCTGAGAATTGTATTGGAAGAAATATTTAGAAATGCAGATTCTACACAGGAAAAAACACCCACTTTGTTAAGGGCAGTCCAAGAAATTTTAAAGAAGGTGTATCTAAAGGTAACAGAAGACATAGACCATTGGCCTTCAGTTAATGATCTCTCTCGCTTTACATCTGATTGTAAAATTAAAACAGCAGCACGAAATAAAGCTTTGCAGTCACATGTAAGTAGTGTTGCAAATGACATAGTTGAAAAGGTTTTTAGAAAAATGTTCTCAGTGGTTGTGACAGCCTTATACGGAAATACTGAGACAAGGAGAGAATCAGAAGCATCCGGCAGTGATAAATCACCATGGAGTCCCCCGTGTTTCAGGGAATTGAAACCAGCAGAAAAAAGATGTGCTGTCCTTGAAGATGTGGTAGCACAAGTTTATCCTTTCACAAACGTTAAAAGTGTCTTTTTGTTGGAAACCTCGGTGCAATCTTCTCCATTACAAAT